ACACAATGTCAATGTAAATCAATTTTTGGAGGTCCTTTTATGTCCCAAAGGACACAGTCTATCAGAACATGAAACAGCAATGTACCTCAGGGTGTTTGTCAGTGTAGGTGGAGAGAGTTTCTTACTTGTCTCTCAGTCCACTGATGTAGTTGTCTATCTCTGCAGGAATTCCCTGGAGGATGGAATTCCTGAAGCCTTTCGTGTCCACCACCTTCCCATCATGGCCATCAATTACTGTCAGGTGCACTCCATCTTCAGGTTGGTGCAACGTCTTGCCATTTACCTGTCACAACAGAGGCAGCCAATCACACTGCAGCTCCGAGATGTGTCAAGCCAATAATTTCTTTTTCACCTTTCTCTTTTGACTCCATAAGCATATACCGCTCCGTACATTACATTATTAGTCTTTAATATGTGTCTCTCTTTGTCTCTCTGCTCTTTTCCCCCCTAACCCCCAAACTATCGCAGAACATGACTGTCCCTCCCTGAGCCTGGATCTGCTCCCCCATGAGGGGGCTGATTGTTGGGGTTTCTACTGTATGGTTTACCTTACAATATAAAACACATTGAGGTGACTGTATTCAAATGATCACTTTAAGGATGTGACATCACAGAGCACCAGAGTTATACAGCCTATCAGAATAAGTAAAAGGAAATAAAACTCTTACAGAGCGGAGTTGCACAATCTATGCTGCTTTTTTACAGAAACGCAAATAAATGATTCCTCTGGCGTCCCTGCTGGAAACATTTGTTTCCCTCTTTATTTATAGACTTTTTACATGTAATTTGACATATCAGAACATAACATGTTCCAGCCAACGTGATCAGGCAGGAGGGTGAGGAGTTTTCCAAGACAGCAAAATTCCACGCCGTGCCAGCAATAAAGGGAAAGCGATGACATCCAGCTGCTAACGATGAAGGTTTAGGGTGGAATCTTCAGAAACACTCGAAACATGAGAGAGCACTTTAAAATAAAAAGTGCAGTATAACTGAAGTGTTGGGCAGGTAAAAAACGAGTTAAACCACAGGGGGCGGTGTTGCATCTGTTGCACAGGTCAGGAATACCGGGATGTATTTTAGGTCTAGTCTACATCTTGAGAAGTGTAATCTGTATACCGTCGTAAACTGAATAAGGCAGAGTCTTGCACACGAGGATGAGGTATGAATTATGTCAGTGACTTTGTCCCAGTAATCTTCCACAAACTTAAGACCCAAATCCTGTTCCCAACTGGAAGCAAATTTTTGGGTTGAATAATTGCCCGATGCCGTAATGAAAGTATATATTTGTGATATAAGAGCCTTATGGTGAGGCTTTAGCTCAAATAAGTCTTCCTACCAATGATTGGGGGCATGACTTGGAAACTCGGGCCAGACAGAAGATGCACATGTCTTTGAAAATAGCGGAACAAATGACACGAGGGCAAATCGTACAAAGAAGTCAGGTCACTAAAGCTGAGGAAAGTGTTATCTTTAAAAAAACATTTAATACCGTTTTTTGCCCATTTACAGAAGGACGAGTCCACCAGGGAGGGGGGAGGAGGTGGTTGCTACAGATTGGGGCCAGAGCAGAGGCTGAACTGAAGTGATGCCAGAATTAATCCCATATTTTTAGAGAGGCAATTAGAACAGGGTTGTCTGTAAACTGTAACAGGGAAACAGGGAGGGATGAAAATAATAGTGCTGAAGGTGTAAGAAGGTGAGGCAGAGAGACACGATTAGGCCTCAGGGCAACACCAAGTAGCCTGAAGATCATTCAGCCAGTAAGTAAACTTTTGAAGAGCGAGACCACCACTGAGCCTACCCTGTTGTAGTGAGGTCATACTAATCCTGGGGGTTTTGTTTGCCCAAATAAATGATGAAATCATTCGATTCACAGATTTGAAAAAGGATTTAGGTAAAAACAGAGGGATGCACTGAAAACCACAGAGAAATATGGGTAGATTATTCATTTCCTACCAAGAAGTGATAGAGGAAGGTTTGCCCACCTTTGAAAGCCAACCTTACATAGTTTAGCAAAGGATTACCATCTGCAGCTTTAAATGAACTGGTAATATGTACCTGAAGAAGCCAGGTGGAAATCAAAATGGGTTTGTCTAAGCTCGTGTGCAGCTGGGCGTGCAGGAAAGCGTTCACTCTTTAGATCCAACCTTTAGAACTGCTCATCTCACAGAAGACAAAAGGGGAAAAGCTCATCTCCTTTTGTACCTGCTCACCCTTTCTGCCCACTCTCACACTGGATGTCACATCTTCTGACATCTAACCACACACAGGGACATCCAATCACATTATTAACGCCTAATCACCTGATGTGGACCCACATCTTCTTCTCTCTGTCTGTGTGTAATTCTACTTCAATTAGATATGAATTTAATGAGTTACTTCATCAGGCCATGTGCTCTGAATCTCAGTTTGTTGCACTTTGGAGGAGCATGAGGCTGAACACGGTGACAGCCGAGCACACAGCTGTCAGGTGGCTGAGGCAGAGTCTGGGACCTGAGCGCAGGAGTTCAAGAGTTTTGTGAAAAGAAAGAAACTCCAGACGAAGCTCTCAGGTGCAGAACGGGAGGCTGATCGTGCTTGCTGTACTAACAAATGAACTTAAAACCAAACTGCAATGCAAGGGCCTATTTGCACATGAAACATACAGCCTGAAGGCTTTCATGAGAAAGAGAGCAACTTTCTCACTCTGTCTCATCAGCTGATCGTCTCAGCTCCTGCTCATCCACTCCCTGCAAGATGAGTTTCAAGGTGATTTGCCTTCAAACATTCGAAGTGAAAGCCACATGGTTTAATCTCCCTTTACTTGCAGTGTAGATAAATAATCCAGTGATGTTCGGCTTGAACTCCTTGACCTGCAGTCTGACTCACTACATGCGGCACTTCAAGTCAGCAACACTGCTGGAACTTTCCACACAAAAGCTCAGAAGATGTTTGTTGTCCTTCTTTGTATCTCTAAATAAAAACATTCTGAGTGATGAGGTTTAACAAAAGTAGATACAGGTTCAATCAAACTCTCGGTAACTAGATCATTAGAGCCATTCTTCAGGTGTGTCTGAGAGAGGTTACCTCAGTAAAGGCAACGTCCTTCTTGATGTGGAAGTGGCGGGTGTTGTAGGACTCCAGTTTGATCTCCAGGAAGTGCTCTGAGGAGTGCTAGGAGCAAGTCCACAAAGAAACAGTGATGATAGTATATTCACAGCAGCAAAAACACATTTAACATCGTGAATGACTGTTCAGGGGAAACCAGCGGCAGGGAAAATAAGAGGGAAACAGTGTGTATCAGATGGTGCTTGGAATATATATCTTTGAAATACAACCAACAGAATTTAAAATATCAATCACACAGCAAGCAGCAAGTAGATGGTCTGCTTCAGAAAAACAAACAATATCAATACGCTCACTATGAAACTAATATAAGTGAAGAAATATGTGTCAGACAGCAGCAAATCCTCTGGATTTCCACCAATAATGTACAAACTGTGTAATATGTCCAAATCTAGATGAAGTTGGTGTGTATTTGTCTGCATGCCTCTCTTTTCACTCATGTATTTGTTCTGTAGTTCGTTTTTTGTCCCGCTTGTTGTTTGTTTGTAGTAGATGGCTGTCGCTTGCTGAGCCTGATTCTGCCATTTCCTGTTAAAAGAGTCCTTTTTCAGAGTGGACAACTAAATCTCTCTGTTATACTGTACGTCTTTACCTTACATTATGAAGCGGCTTGAGACAACTCAAGCTGTGTATGCAGTGTTCAAGTAGTCCAAAGATCATTGATGGCCAAGGCTCACTGATGCTCGTGGGCAGTGAAGACTGGCCCTTGTGGTCTGACTCAACAGATGAGATACTATCAGTCAAATTGCTGAAAAAAGTTGATTCTGGTTCTGACAGAAAGATGTCAGAATACACAGCGTATCACAGTGTGTTGCACATGTGGCTGCAGACCAGTCAGGATGCTCATGCTGACCTCTGTGCACCACTGAAAACACCAGCAATGGACACATGAGCGATGGAAGAAGGTAGGCTAATATGATGAGTCACATTTTCTTTTACATCACGTGGATGGCCAGGG